GCAGAAAAGAGCCGGGGGGGGGGGGGGAGAACCCAAAGTAACTCAGCCTTTTTAAATGAAATATTAGATGTATTACTGTTGGACTCTCATCTGCTATATGTTGTTGGGCTTCATGGAGCTATGATCACTTATACCCGCTGAGGATTTGGCCCAACTAAAATCTTAAATTAAAGATGGGTGAACTTCTCCACTATTGTAGCAAGAGCACTTGATGGGATTTAATACCATCTTTCAACTTCTGAGTTGCCATTAATTTAACATAGCATTGCACATAGCAATTAAAGTCAGACCTATCTTTTGTCTGAGATAAGAAAGGCCATTTAAGATGATATTTGTTCTCCAATTCAATTATCTGAGCAAATTGCTCTGGGCAATTATAACTACAATGATGTAAGGAACAATATTTTAAAAGATGTTTTGGAGTCATCTTAATGGTACACCCTGGAATAAATCCAAATTGAGCTATTTAAATAATTTCAGTGATCTTTTTTTTTTTCTAGACTTTCCTGTGCTAGATTGCTTGAGTGGGAAGGCTTTGTAATGAAAGTTTTAATTGGGTGACATGGGAAGGGTCTCTAACTTTGCACATTAGTACAGTTTCATTTTGGCTGTGTTTTGAATTACATTCTGTATGCACATCTAGAGAACACAATTCAAATAAACCTGAATGATTAAATTAAATATGCATTTCTTAAGTCTCAGGGAGAGCGTTTCAAGCAAGAATTTTTAGATCAGATTTTAATAGATGAACTAGTCTTTATAGACCACAGAGTAATGGGTCTATCAATTCACAAAATATAAAAAATTAAGGTAGATGTAATTAAGTAAACAAAATTTTTTATTCCATCCAGTGCATCATAATGAAACGATGTTGTCCCACATGCTCAATCTGTATATTTTATGCTACCAATTTACTGACCAATTTGTCTCAGTCTATTGAATTCTTAGAAATGGTTCTTTGTAGACCTGGAAATTTCAATGTTACGTATATTTTAAACGTGGAAAGGACTTTTAAATCGGACTGTCCAAGCATATGAATTTCGCTCAAATTAAAGGCTTTGTGGGTATGGTGGGGTATGCATTTGAGCTCCCTACGCATGCCCCCTTGAGCTAGTCAGTGCCCATCTCCACCCCTATCCATAACAGCTCGGAGCCTGTGCAGCCTGCGTCGCCTCTCTGCCATCGTCAACAGCACACAGCCCCAGCCCTGCCCCGTGCCCTCTCCGGACCCACCCCTACCAGAGCAGATCAGTGGGAACCCAGGCACAGCTCCACCCTGGCCTGCCCTGCACCTGCTCTGCACCACCCACTCAGGGTGCCTTCTGCCATCCTTGGGTATGCAGCAAGGCTGGGGCGAAAGGGGAGGTGCTTTCTCCTGCCTGTGCTAAGCAACGGCTTCTGTCCCGCACTGCTGCTGCTGAGCCTAGAGCAGGGGTGGGGCGCGTGGGGTTTAGGCTGTGCAGCGCAGGTCCCCACCAGTCCTGCAGAGCTGGGGCCGGTACTGGTGGCAGCTGCAAGGAGCTGCCACCACTTGGGCTGCCTAGAAAGGCAGTCCAGCCATGGAGCTGCCTGAACCCCACTGCGTGCCCAAGCAGTGGCAGGACGTGGCACGGATGGACTGTGCCTGGGCCAGGCAGGACCAAGGGTCCTGCCGCGGACCGCATTTTGCCCACCCCTGATTTTTGGGGGATGATTACTTGGATCAGCTCATCTCATATTTTGTTGTGTATATATTGTATTGTTCACTTTACTTTTAATGCTCTTTGTAATTATTCATTGAGAATGTTCTTCCCTACTCTCCTCGTCCCCTATCCTGCTCCCCAGTTTGGTGTCTGGCAAGTCTGCCCTAGTCTCCCTATCCTAGTTATACCTTTGTTAGACCCACTTTTCCCAGCGAATGAGTCTGTGGGTTTGCTGCTTACAATATTGATACTATCACTGCATGTTGTTTTCAGGAAAAGTGTTGCTTTCTCTGTATGTCTATTACATACTTTGAATGAAAACGTGCTGAAGCTAACAGAAGTTGCAATGGGCTTCAGATCAAACTTGCATTCCTATAGAACAGAATAATAAAATAGTTTTTATAAAATATCAAATTGTTCTCATCCCAAAAGAACATAGTTGAAATTTTGGCTCCATTATAGTTGATGCCAGTCCCATTAATTACAATAAGACAAGAAATTTGCTTATTAAACCTATTTTAATAAAAAAAAAAATCCATTGTGGAAGTAGAGAACCTTCTAACTACATGCCACATGTTAGAGTTTATATAGTGTTAATAAGGTGATACTGATATATCATATTTTAAGGGTTTAAAAAAGGAATTTACCATTATTACTTTATTCAGTTAATATATTTTATACTATATAAGCACAGTGTATCTGCTTTTGTTTTATTTGTTTTTTCTTTTTTATTATTATTAGCCTCTCCATGGGTAGTTAAAAGTCGATCTCAAAACAACAAGATAGACCTCTATGATGTTCGCAGAAGACCATGGTAAGTTTCCTGTAGAGAAGAGAAGCATATGAAATTGTTAGCTTTCTGTATGTTCTATGAAAACACAAGGGAAAAATGAAAATATGAATTAAACTGTGCACAAAATCCTGTTCTGAAAAGTAACTGTTGAGAATAAAAATCTTTATTTTAATATATTTTGATTTTCTTTATAAACTCAGTTTCACTTTCTGGGGAGGTAGCATTTGTACAGCACCGTACTGCTTTACAAGAAGGCATTGTCTTTATGAGAAATGGAATGAAATGAAAGCAAGACAATTAGTCACTTTCATTGAAGGCAACGACCAAGTCTGAACTAGGATGATCAGACTAAATTATTTTTGTCTTAAATTGCTTTCAACTGAACTATTGTAAATTATTTATATAGTCCTGAGTAGTCAATACAAGAATCAGCAAAATTTCCAGTGCAATAGAAATTCTCTAAAAATGCTCTTATTTAACACTGATACTCCATATTTTTCCCATTAGGTCATAGTGCATAATGCTTATGCATTTGTACTAGCTGAATAAATTATTCTCCTGAGGGAGAAAACAGCTTTGTCAGACTCATGGAATAATTCACCTGTCATCAGAATATCTTTAGCTCTCAAATTCTATTCACCTTTTTTAGTAATTGACATATGAAACTGGTGATTTTTTTTTTACCTCCTACCTCCAGGCCTTCCTTTTGCTGTTGAACCTTGCTTTATCCAGGTGAAGAAATAATAAGAGGAAAAAATGTCATGGTATAAGAGTTTCCTACCCAGATACAATAGGGAATAAAAGGATTTCTTTGGTTCAGCTAGACATAGTTTTAGAGGTTAGTTGTTCTTTAGATCAAGCGTTGTGCTGGCATTTTCAAATCCTTACCTTTTGTTCTCCTGTAATTTATTTATTTTAGGTACATCCAAGGAGCTGCATCTCCCAAAGACATGCTTATTTTAGTCGATGCGTAAGTATTAAAAGACTGGATATATGGAGGGATAAGAAGCATTTGGCACCTTTTGAACTAAGGCAGTGTTGAAGGAGAGCTGAATTTAGAAATGAAGAAAAAGCCTGTCTTGAAAGACACATGAATTGGTGGCAAAAAATGCGTTTTCAATTTTGTGTTTTCTAATCAATTTGATATTATTCTAATTTCAAAGTGTCAGTCGCTTAAGCAAACAGTTTAATATTTCATAGGTGAATATCTGTGTTTGTTGTAAAACAGCAAAGAAATGACTGAAAGGAACTTAATTTGTCATAATGAGCCAGAAAGGAGGAGGGCTTATGTAGTTTTGTAATGTATTCCGGCTCTTTATAATCTCTGTGCTACTAAAAAGCTTCCAGTCCACCCTTGTGAAAGTTGACAATATGTTCATTCTTAATCCATCAAAATAGATATTTCAATATAAAAATATAGTCTAGTTATTTTAGACCAGTTTTTGACTGTAGAGGCAAATTAAAAGACCAGAGGAGTTGACATTTAAGCAAAACAGGCATATTTTAGAATATATAGCTTTGTGTATTTTTCTTTATTGGTCAGTTATTCAAATTGAGCTGTTTACAGTGATATTAATGAATACAGGTGTAAAAATGGCATGACAGATTTACATTCCCCATTGTATAGTGTAAATCAATGCCTGTTTGGCATTTTACTACAATTTATTCCACACAGTATGAAGCCTAAAGGAAGGAATTCTTAAAAAAAATATATCTCTCTGTGCTCTTGTCAAGACATCCTTTGTTAAGCTAATGTCAAGGGGCTAAGAGACCCATTGAGCTTGATGCATCTCACAGATTGCTTTGTACTGGAAAAAAATAAAAATCTATTCATTGGTTCTTGCACTCAGTGGGAGAGATTGCATTGGATGCTTTTAAACTCAGCCAAATACTTCTATATCAGAGATGTGTTTAAACAGCATTTACAGTTCCCCCAATTTGAGCTTTGCCCTAAAGCAAACAAGATGCCCTTTTAGATCCCTGAAAATGTAAAGCACTAAACGAATGTAAGAGAGTAGAAGAATGTTTAAGGAACACATAACTTGAATGTGATTAACTCTTAAAGCAAAGATGAAATGAAAATGAGAAATCAGTTCAATCAGTAGAACTCTTGTGCTAAAAAGGTTCCTTCTGAGCCACAAAGTTACAGCATTGGTTTCTATGCTTGGAACATTTTCTTCTAGTAACAATTGCTGCTATTACAGAGTAGTAAGATCTGGATCTGAGTAGGCATTTCAAGAGTAATCTTCAATATAAAAGCACAAAATATGGAAACAGCTTTATATGATCAAGTTCCTTTGTATATTTTCAGTGTGTTTAATCAAATTAATTAAATCTGATATTTGTTTGTTTTGTGGTTGTCTGCTATACAGGAGTGGAAGTGTTAGCGGACTGACACTGAAACTGATCCGAACCTCCGTCATTGAGATGCTAGAAACTTTATCTGATGATGACTTTGTGAATGTAGTTTCAGTGAGTATCAATTCTTTCAATAACTGGCACTGGCAGGCTACCTACAACATACTTGGGGACTGGGCTGTATCTTAGACGTGGACGCACAGCGATACCAAACTGCCAAATCTGATATAAAGTATTTTATATTGTACAAACATAATTAAATAAATGAAAAACTCTGAAGTATTCATATACATGGATTTGAAATTAGGAGTTGGTTGCAATCATGGCACCATTAATTTACCTTGGTCTAAACAAAAGTTATTTACCCTGTAGTAATTTCTTGGTCTTTATTAAAAATTATTTGTTTCTTCTGTAAATGCTGATTCCACTGAGATCATTGGTAATTAGCAGCCTTTATAATGCAATATATTAGGGAGTCTCATTGGAGATAGAACACTAATACAAGAATAAGAGGATTGCTTCTTCACTGCCCTTCACATAGTGTAGTCATGTACACTTGCACATAATGGGCCAAACTACCTGTTGGTGTATAATGACATGAAGTTAATTAGTTATTGGTCCGGAAAAGGGGTGAATAGTGAGGTGTCAATATTTGCTTTAACTAAAATAATGTCATATTTAAGACTGGAGAAGGCTACACTGGGACTTAATCGTGCAAAGTGAATAGACAGCTGGTCAGAAGAAGAAATAAAGAGTTCATAAATACAAAATTAATACACTTTGGACTGAACGTAATTGGAATTATGTGTATATTACACTAACTAGATCCATTCAGGAAAAGGACTTGGGTTATTTTGGAAAGCTCAGTCAAGACCTCTGCCCATTGTGCAGCAGCATTCAGACAAGCAGAGTATATTAGGATGCATAAGGAATGGCATGGAGAATTAAAGGAAAAAATATTTAGAAAAAAGAGAAAATATTTATGCCATTTATACCCCTACATCAAATGGGCATTATGTATATTCATTAGGCACACTGCATGCCTTTCTCTTAAAAAAAATAACAAAACAAAAAAACCCACCTCCGCTTCCCCAAAACCCAGAAATATTTATTCTTACCTCTGACGTTTTCCTAATGCTATAGATTCAGGGAATATTGGACTTCAGAATAGGCAGGGTTTGTTTGAATTAGCACTGATTTTCTAGGGTTTAATATGGCAGGTTCAGAATGAAGTGAAGGGGAAATAGATCATTTTGTTTTTAAAAGGTAGTGTGTGTGTGTGTGTGGGGGGGGGGG